CAAGACCTTAGCTCCGAAAGGAACAATCAATCCCGCAAAGGACTCCCCAAAGCGTGCCTCCCATGGGATTTCACCAGTATCCACTCGCTTTGTGAGATTGAGCGCAATGGAGTGGTGCTGAGCTGCTAAAGGCCAAAACCGTTCTGGAAGACCGGCTTGCTCCAAGTTCGAGCGCGTACCCTCTAGTACGGTGCGGATTTCCCGTTCGATGACGGCCTTAGTTTCATCCACGTACTCTCTAGAGGTGTTGTGCCTACATCGGAGTTCCTTCACAGCTGCTCCCAACTCCGGCGCGTTGTCAGAGTAAATAACCCCAATTTCGTCTTGCGTACCGAAAAAGTGCAGAAGGTCCTCATGCACTTGTTCCGATGATTTTGTTGTGCTTGGATACACATACCTGAATTGCGAGAACACATCTTTGATAACAAGCGCCACCCTCTCATCCTGAAATCCAAAGTCCCTCAAATCTCTTGTCACGAGATGATCAATGGTAACATGATCCCCATACTTTTCACTGTGTATGGTCGAAGATCCCCCCTTTCTTCGAGCTTGGGGAGATAGCATCTTCGCCTTTTGGCACACTTTGCAGAATGGGTTCTTAGGACGATGGCAGAATTGATGATGGATGCTTTCGGCCTCGGCGCGAAGCCGGGCTTCTTGCGAGATTTCCCTTCCCTCATCTTCTTCCTTGTCACTATCGGGCTCGATTAAGGGGTCGTCTTCGGGTCTTTTGAAAGCAGTAATCGACAGAATTGGCGATCCATCAATCTTTTGATTTTTAACCCTTAGACTTCTGATGTCAACAGAATCCTCAATCTTGCTCCAAGCAGAGTCCTTGTAGATCCAAGTGGTCCTTAGCACGAACCTTGGATGACGAGGTGCAGGTACTCGCAAAGCCTTTGGCCGATGACCAATAATGATCTTTGATGCGGCAATTTCACTGCTAGTGATCCAACCTGGCTTGGCTAAATCTTTAGGCTTGATTGCAATTGGTGGTGCGGCATTGATTGCTTCTTCTATCTCGGAGTCGCTATGAACGACTCTTTCATCCCCGGCCGGTCCTCTCGGACGGCTTTCTACTGGAAACCCGAAGACTCGTCCTCCGCAGGTGCCGCCAGTTCAACCTTGACTGTACCGGCGTTAAACACCTGAGTTCCAGCAGATTTCTGGGAATCATCAGCACTTGCTGGGCTCGCTACCGAGTCATCATTCGAGATCACTGGGACTCTACCCTTCATCTTACACTTGATGACCTTACCATCGGGAGCTATGAAGTATGGAACCTTGCCCGCAGGCCAATGGAAATCATATCCATCGTCCATGCATCTTCTCCCAACAGAACAAACCGGTGGCGTGCTTTCCAGTAGATAGCACTCAATGTTTTGCTTCAGTTCAGGCATCGGGATGTTGGTTGACTTGATTCCCTGAACTGGACCATTAGCTGTAATCAAGTTGACCGGCCTACTAGCGTTTTCGATGGGAGCCTCTGGATAGTAGATAGAGTGATCGTGCCTACTGATCAGATCTTCTTCACTGCCAGTATCGGCGAGGAATTCTAATCCCGCATTAAAGCTAGAGCATGCTGTCCTTTCAACGCTAGAACACAGCTCGCACTTCAACACTGCAACTGGGATCTCACCCTCTTCACAGTCATCTGTGCACTCGTACTCACAGTGGCTTTCAATCCCATTGAGCATACAGGACATGATCCTGGCAAGCTCGTTCGCTGTTCTTATGGCCGTGCTTAGGTCCTGAACTGGAGGCTTTGGGCAACTTTCAGCATCCAAGTAACAAACTTCGAAAGTTCGCGGTTTGGTCCTATGCTTCTTACCCTTACCATCCAATGGAATCTCCCGAATGCTTGGCTTCTCCTTGAACCTTAGTTTCTTGAACGTTCCTGAAGCATCACCCTTAACGCCTTGCCCATTGGGCACAGCTGCCAGCGCATACGAAATGCAACAAGCTGCCGTGCGTCCGCCAGACTTTTCCTTGCTCTTGGACCTGCCCCTGTGTTTCTTTTCCTTCTTTGCTTTAGGATCCGGGGTCGGGCTCCTAGGCTTTTCATCGTTCTTCGCAGGGGCGGCCTGCTCGGTAGGAGCGGCGTCAGTTGGATTGGGCTTATCTTGATGCAGGAACCTACAGTCTTTGCCTTTGTTGCACTTACCTTTCTTCCAAAAGGTGCAAATCGCGTTGATCTTCTTCTGAGGCGTTCGATGAGGACTTGGGGATCTTGACTTTGGTTTGTGGAGAAACTTACACTTGTCGCCTCTTGTGCATTTCCCTTTCTGGAAGTCGTAACAAACCTGTTGTGTTTTGGGACTCTGAGATCTAGGCGGTGTTCGTTGGCTCGATCCTTTGCTGCTTGTTCTGGATTTTGAGCTACTTCGGGACATGCTTCTTCCACGGCCTCCTCGCGAAGAGGGGCGACGTTCAGATCCGTACGCTGGAGCCCCGTATCTATCGCCATGCGACTTAGCGATGCGATCACGATTCTTGCGCATACGCTCTCTAGTCAGATGCTCCCTAATGGCATTGACGAGGAATTCATACGTGTGTACAGGGTTTCCTTCTTTTGCCCTGTCGTACAGCTGAAGATCGTACTTGATGTGGTGGGATTTCCGAATTTCCCTCAGCAAAATGTCCCTCAAAGTAACCTCATCCGGAACATGACTCATTCCAGCAATCACCGACTCGAAGTTGTAAAGGAAGGTAGCCAAGTCGTCCCCAACCAACTTCACTTTTAAAAGGTCCTCTACGCTATAGAGGCTTCCGACTTCTTCATTAGTCTTAAAGTGTTGGTGAAACATCCACAATACTTGTCTTCCCCTGACGGCACGTCCTCCTGTGGCCTCTGTTTCCTTGAAGTTTAGGACTTGCCTTGAAATCTCTCCTCTAGCGACTCTGGTAAGTGCAGCCAACAACTTCGTGTCCAATGTTAAGAATTTCCCAGTGTCATGTAAGGACTTGAGGGTAGCCTCTTTATCATATACTTCCTGCACCCAGCGAAATGCCTCATCCGGGCGATCGCTCGCAGCCCGCACAATCTCGCGGACCGAGATCCGCCACGATCGGTAGGTCTCTGGATTAGGGTAATCGGGAAGCTTGATGCTTTCGGCTTCTTTCACCTTTGGTTTGCCCTCTTCCTCTTCGGTCTTAGGGGTAAGCAAGCGTGCTGCCCTAATCAATGCCTCAGCTCCGAAATCAACATGTGGAACCCCGTCTGGATCAACAGTCGCCGGCTTACCAGTTTGGGCAGCTTTAGGAGACTTTTCCTTTTGTGGCTCTCTGTTCTCAAACCCAGGTGGTACAGAAGTTCCTTGCGGAGGTTCCTGAGCTTGCGGCGTTCTTCCGAAGATGTCCTTCATGTTCTCGGGAATCTCAAATGGATTGGAGAACGGGATAGTAGGATTAGGTCCTGGCTTCGGCGTGGCATATTGTTTGCCCGCTTCGTCCGCATTGGCTTCCATTCTTAAGGCTCGTTCTGCGGCAGCCAGTTCATCCTGCAGTCTGTCGTTTTGTGCACTCATTTCGGCGATTTCAGTAATGAAACGCCGTTCCATACTCGCTTCGGTTTCTTCAAGGACTTGTTTGAATCGGATTCCAAGAAAGTCAAGATGTTGTGCTTTGTTGCGTTCGCTCTCAGCAATCAGAGTGGTTCTGAGCTTAGCGATTTCCGACTGATGTCGTTGTTGGAAAATTGATTCCAGAATGTTCATTTCATTCCTGCATGTTGCAACTTCGTTCAACAAAAACTTTTCCCTTTGGGATGCGTTGAACTCAAATTCCGCAAACTGTGCTTCGCATTCTGCCATCTTCACCTCATGAAGGCGCTCGGCCTGTTCAGCCATGCCAGCCATTCTCACAAGATTATCATGCGATTGTTGGTTCAGAATGCTTGCGTGTCTTCTTTCAGCATCTGCCTCCGTTCGCTCTATTGCCATTCTTTGTTGTTCGGCTGTTTCACCCTGGTTCACAACATTGTACAAGGTATACTGCACGTTTGAGATGTCGACCGTTGGATTTGAGACAAATGGAGATAGGGTAGGACCCACTGGGCCGAAGATCCTATCAAGTGCTTGGGATCCTGAGCTCGATGCCATAGGGCCCGCGCCAGCTGCTATGAGTTGTTCATCAAGCAGTCGATCTCTTGTTTCGTCGTCCATCTCGTCCGATGATACTTCAGTTGTTTCTCCCTTCTCAGTAGTGAGCAGAGAGGGCGAAGTACTCATGTACCAGTGTGAATACCAGTGTAAGAATACCACGGAGACAAAGTCAGCGAATACGGCTGATAACCTATAGAATACACCAAAACCGTTAAGCCATGAGCGGTCGCGCTAACCTTTTACTCAGAGGGCTTGGGCACAATAGTCAGCGGTATATAGTACACAACATGATGACTGTACACGACCATACAAACTCCTACGCAAGCTGCGATGCAAAACTACAACTACTGCATGTCTTTGTACATGTGTATACAGGAACAGATCGCTTGCTACATGCATGAGCACGTGCAGATGAAGAAAGGAAAGAACAACATGGACACCCCTGCATATTCAAGTGTATGCATGCAAGCAATTGTATCTGTAGACACATCAATTTCAGATACAAGTAGATGGATAGACGGATTGACGCACGGACCAGAAACCCTACAGCCTGCAACTCTAAAGCCCTGAAGCCCTACAGACCCTAAACCCTCAACCATAAAGAACCTTAAACCCCCAAACTAAACTCTAACCCCCCCCTAAACCCTAAACCCTAAACCCAAAAACACCGAAACCTTCCCAGAGCCTCCAAAACCCCTTAATTAAGGAATATACCTGAAATCATATTATGGATCCTACTATACTTTAAGGTATATTCCTTAATTAAGGGGTTTTGGAGGCTCTGGGAAGCCCTCTTCTAATCATTGAGGCCCCTAAATCATTGAAAAAGGAGCCCTTTAAAGGGAACGCTATTCTAAGAACCCAAAAACACCGAAACCTTCTTCTGAGCCGAGAGGCTGATCTGGTTGTAGGCAGCTCGGAGCTCCTTCCGTGTTGACTTCCCAGACCCCCGGAAAAATCTAGAAACCCTATAGATCCCTTTAAAGGAACCCTTAAAAGAACCCTATAGATCCCTTTAAAGGAACCCTTGAAGGAACCCTAGATAATCCTGAATTAAGGGATATGGGAGTCTTTGGGTATATGACGATGGATCTAGAAAGGATCTAATTTGAGGCCCTAGTAGGGTTCCTTAAAAGGGCTCCCTTATGGGATCCTTTAGGGTTTAGGGATCTATAAGGGAAAGTAGATCCCCAAATTTGGGGCCGTATACTACGAAGGGTACTTTATAGGAACCTCCATTAAGGGATCTACCTTTTTGGATCCTCCCGGGGGTCTGGGTCGAGGGTTTCCATAATTAGAGGGTTCTTAGACTAGGGTTCCCTTTAAAGGGCTCCTTTTTCAATGATTTACTAGGATGCTCAGTAACCTAGGAATAAAAAGCTCTCCCTTTTTGGTCTTGGGTAACTTTATAAGGAACCTAGGACTACAAAAAGGGAATAAGGGTACTACTGGGCATCCTAGTCAATGATTTAGGGGCCTCAATAATTAGAAGAGGGCTTCTGAGCTCGGCTCGAGGGTTTAGGGATTCGGAGTTTAGGAGCTTAGGGGTTTAGGGCTTCAGGGGTTTAGGTTTTAGGGTTTAGGGCTTTAGGGGTTTTAGGGGTTTAGGGTTTAGGGCTTTAGGGGTTTTAGGGGTTTAGGGTTTAGGGGTTTAGGGGTTTTAGGGGTTTAGGGTTTAGGGGTTTAGGGGTTTGGGGTTTAAGGTTTAGGGATTGGGGTTTCGGGATTAGGGCCCGATGATCAGGGTTTAGGGCAATTAAGGGGTGTCTGCACGCACTGCCCCTCACCGAAGTGCGGTTTGTGGTGGACTCAAAGCTAAGGGCCAAGGGCTTAATCTAAGGGCCTTAATAACTAGAATGATTAGGGTTTTGGGGCCCCGTATACCATATTTATAAAAAGCAGCCCCCAAAAATAGTATTGGTGATTATTTAGGCCCCTATATCAGGCAGGATCGCAGTCAGGGGTGTCGACAGCTCGGGGGCGTCGGCTCGAGAGCAGTTTGAGAGGTGAGGAAACCGAGAATGTTTGGGATTCTTCTGGTTTAACCGATCAGATAATATCATAGACCCTCTGGAATATAGAAAGAATGAAATCATCATAAGTATACACTCATGATCTCAGAAACCCTCTATAAACGCTTCCCATCATTACGGCTTGGGACATTGATTGGTGCGTGAAGAGGACCCAGATCGCGTGAAAGCGCGCGGTAAAAACAACTTCCGAAAACTGCACCAAACGTGGGGCGGGATAGGGGCGCCGGAACCTATTATATTAGCAACGCCATCAACATACATAATTAGTAAGAAGCAACATTAATAGTAATACCAGTGAATAATACCAATTGCAACAATAGCAGCAACAATAACAATAATAGCAAGCATGGAGTTAATACCACTAATCCTCAAAGTAGTAACGGCATTGTAGGGGATTTAATGGCCCAGTATACTATAATTATAATAGGTAACCCCCAAAAAAAAGGTATAGAAAAAATATGAAGGCCCCTACAGTAATTGAGAAGTATTAAACAAACTTCCCACGCGCCTCCAAGTGGCGGAGGCCCTCCAATCCCTCCAGGCTGCGGAGGCAGTTGCAAGACACATCCAGGAGCCTGTAAGGTGTTTTTATTTTATTTTTTTTTGCGGGTTTGGGGTTTCGGTGTTCGGGGATTAGGGGTTTAGGGTTTTGGGGGCTAAAGGAGCCTCTGAGGATTTAGGGGCTTTAGGCTGTGAGGAGGAATTTGGTGCTTAGGGTGTCGTGCAGAGGCTTGGACATCGAGGTCTGAATAAGTAGTAGCAGTAGGCGTAGTAGTAGTAGTCGTCGTCGTAGTAGTAGGCGTAGTAGTAGTCGTCGTCATCGTAGCAGTAATAGTTTAGGGTCTGAGGCTCGAGCGCTTGGGGTGTGGTTTAGGGTTCTGAGCTTCAGATCATGAGGCTCTTGAGGTTTCCCTAGGGCTCCAGTTACCTAAATAGCAGGTTACTGGGGTATCTATTTTATGGCAAGTAACCGACCAATTTTTGGAGGTTCATGGGTAGTTATAAGAGGCGTGATAAGTAGGGTAGGTAACCCTACGGAGTGGTGGTAACGGCTCCGGTCACTACATTATTTCGGCTTCGGGCTTTCACCCGCGAAGACATTTTCCATGCCGCGAACAAGGGAAAGCCTCACTGACTAAGACTTTAAACAAGACCCCTGAAACCTTGTTACCAGCACTTGAAGTATACCCCCTCAGAGCCACAATAACATGTTTTGGTTTTATATGAACAAAAACTGAAATAATTCCCACGGAGACTATTGTGAAAACTCAAACTTTATTGCACCATGATAGAGCCCCATAGCACCCCTGAAAACTAAAGGATCCCTCAAAGGAGCACTTCTCTTCTATATGTCGAGCTTTATCCCTAAACCCTAAACCCTAAACCCCTAAACCCTAAACCCTAAAACCCTAAACCCTAAACCCTCAACCCCTAAACCCTAAAACCCTAAACCCTAAACCGTTTATGCCACGTCCGCGCCTGAGCCGCTGCAAGCCCGCAAGGCCCTGCAGCTTCCGGAGGTCATTGGATGAGGCCACGAGCTCCTTCTGTCAAAGGGGAAAAGGAGGGACCCTTAATTTAGGGATCTTTAGGGTTCCTTCAAAGGGATCTATAGGGGTTTATTTCAAGGGATCTATAGGAGCTTATAAGGGTTTAGGGTGCAGCTTCTTTCAAGGGGAAAAGGAGGGACCCTTAATTTAGGGATCTTTAGGGTTCCTTCAAAGGGATCTTTAGGGTTCCTTTAAGGGGTCCTTAGGGGTTTAGGGTTTAGGGTTCCTTTAAACAAAGGAGAAAAGGAGGGTCACCTTTTAAAGGGATCTATAGGGATGCTATAAGGGTATAGGGTTTAGGGGTTTTGGGGGTTTAGGGGGTTTAGGGAACCAGGAGGGAGCCTTAATGGGATCCCTACCCTACAATGGGCTATCCTATGGGTATATCATAGCTATACTAAGAGTATATACCTAAGGGTCCTTAGTAAGGGTCCCTCCTTTTCCCCTTGGACTGACCCACAGTGCCCAACACCCCTTAAATTAGGAATATGGCTTATATCATCGGGGCTTTTTAAAGGGATGTATAAGGGTTCTTTCAGGGAGTTAAGGAATAGGGCTTAAATTATATAGTAATATAGGGCTTCATATTATGATTTAAGCTATATTCCTTAATCAAGGGGTATTGGGCTCTCTGGGGAGCCAGTGTTTAGGGTTTGGGGGGTTTCAGGCGGTTTAGGGTTTAGGGTTTAGGGTTCCGAAACCCTAAACCCTGATGCCTGTGGGTGTAGGGTTTAGGGATTAGGGGTTTGGAGGGGGTAGGGCTTAGGCGTTCGGGTTTTGGGCTTTAGGGGGGGGTTCCGCGTTGGTTTGGGCTTTAGGGTTTGGGGGTTCCGGGTCCCGAAACCCTAAACCCCAATACCTGTACACACCCCTTGACACCCTTGAAACCCTAAACCCTAAAACCCTAAATCCCTCAACCCTAAAAACCCTAAAACCCCAAAACAATAAAAGCTCGAAAAACACTAAACCCCCAAACCCCCCAAACCCTACAACCCTAAACCCTCAAACCCTGAATCCCTCAACCCTAAAAACCCTAAAACCCCAAAACAATAAAAACCAGAAAAACACTAAACCCCCAAAACCCCCCAAACCCTAAAACCCTACAACCCTAAAGCCCTAAACCCTAAAACCCTAAACCCTAAAACCCTAAACCCTAAAACCCTAAAACCCTAAAACCCTAAAACCCTAAACCACAGAGCCTACACGCCTGAAGCCAGAAGCTTGAGCCTCGCAGCCCGAACCCTGTACCCCTCGACCCGAATCCTGGAATCGTAATAGAAATGTGCGGGAGCAGCATGTACATACCCTCTAACATACTCTAACTATCTATCCATCTTTATCTACCTACCTATCTCTCTACATATATATATATATATATATATGTATACACACATACACATGCTCGCAACGGGAAGCCTAAGGAACAGAAGCTTGATTGTTCACGCTCCTGTACTATACCATTCGCAAGGAATGTGAAGGAATAGAACCATTCCAGCTTGTATACTGCAGTGTACGTGCAGCTATATGTCACACTCCTGCACATGCTGTACTGAGTGGCAAAAGGCAACTCGACCCTCCGATCGGTGAACCCTACACCCTAAACCAAAACCCTAAACCCTAAACCCTGTCAGCGGCACAGCCCTGTGCGGCCTCCCATCACCTTGTCCCTACCGCAAACTACCGCAACATACATTTTTCGTAAGCTCTTCTTGTAAACCCTAACATAGAATTTACAGGGTAGTTCGTGGTATGTCATGCCCCTTAACCCAAGGCCACAAAGCTCCTCCAGCGCCGGGCAAACCTCGGGGGTGACTCAGGCCAGCGAGAGAAGGCAACATGCGGGTACACCTTTACAGCCAGGTATGTGTAGGGATGTACTGATAATTATGTATGTATGCATCCTTTATGTATGTGGGTATACATATATACATATATACATACATGTATGTATGTATGTATATATATATATATATATATATATATATATATATATATATTTATTTATTTATATGCATAATGTAATGAACGAACTGCGATAGGCGGATGTCTGGGTAGGTAGACAGTGGAGAACCTAGGAATAGCTAAGGCTTAGAACTAATCCCTCAGAAGGGTTGATGATATAAATCCTGCATTACCCATAATAGGGAATATATGGGAATTATGGTATATTCCTTATTATGGGTAATGCAGGATTTATATCATCAACCGAAGGAGGTCCCTTCAGCCTGGCGACGGCATCCAGGCCCTGAAGCGAGACGAGCGCATTGCCGTGGAGGTGAAGTGCGCGAAGCCTTTCCCAACTTTATGACACTTTCGGGCTCCAATGTACAGTAATCCCCAGAAAGTTGGAAACCGGAGTAAGGCCAAATAGTGCTGGGATTCCCTATACATTTACTCTTAAGGATTGAGGCTATGGGGTTTCCAACTTTTGGGCTTCTACTGTATGGGGTTTGGTCTGTACCTGCTACACATCGAGTTCGGGTTTTTGAATTCGGAGTGTGTATTTGTACTTGATCCTAAACATCCATACACCAAGATAGTATATTCTTTTGGCGTTATATAGAGGGGTTCGTAGATAGGAAGTTTAAGGCCAACTCACAATGTATCATAACATACAAGGACCCTTACGGTAGGTTGTGGATTCAAGCTTAGCTTCGGGCATAATGTAGGGGCCTTAATGATTAGAATCGGGTTTCGGGGCCCATTATACTATAATTCTAATATGGAACCCCCATATTTGTATTCTTAACTATCTAGCCCCCAGAGTAGGAGCTTGCGGCATTTGTTCATTTTTGTGTTTTTTTTGAGGGCGGGGGTTGGAGGTTACAGCTTCGTCTGACAGCACGTGCTGTGGGATTTACAAAGCATGGGTTTACGAAGATGGGGTATCGTGTTCAGGATTTTGGATTTTGATGGCTAAGGGAATCAGGGTCTAGTTGCTGGCCCATGCTGCTGTTGAGCTCTTGAGTGGGCTCGCCACGGCTGGTTTTGAGACGTCTTGAAAGGTGTAGAGAAAACCGTAACCGCAACGATAAACTGAATCTCCCTTTTAAAGGCTCCCTTCTAGATCCCTTGAAGGAAGCCTTAATGGCTTCAAATCTTCTGCTAAGGGATAGGGGTTCAGGGTTTCGGGTATTAGAAGCTGAGTTGGAGGTTCCATGGGTAGAGTTGCAAGTGGAGCTATAAGGGTTTAGGGCTCCTTTACGGGTTCTACACGGTTTAGGGTTTAAGGTAGAAGTGGAGTTATAAGTAGGGTGTCAACAATTAGAATTCCTCTTTGGGGGGGGCTTATAACCCCACTCATACTTACCCTAGGCCCTAACCCCTACAAACCCTACTTATAACTTGTAACGGCACTTATAACTACCCATGAACCAACAAGTACTACCTAAAGTACCTTTACTTAAAGCAACCCCTAAAGGAGCAGTTGAAGCTGAAGGAACCCTCACTGGACCCTGAACCCTCAACCACAAACCCTAAACCCTGAACCCTAAGCCCTAAACGAACTGTTGAAGCAACCCCGAGGAAAAAATACAATAAACACCGTAAACGAACCCTTAAGGACACCCTGAAAGGAACCCCTTAAAGAACCCTAAAAAGGAACCCTTGAAGGAACCCCTTAAATAACCCTAACAGGAACCCTTAAAGGAACCCAGAAAGGAACATCTCAGGGGCCTCGAGGCCTCGGGCGCCCGAACCCCAGCGTCCGCGAGGCTCCGAAGCCCGGCTCGGATGAGTCGGAGCTCCGGCCTCTAGGGTTTAGGGATCTATAGGGGTTCCTTTAAAGGGAACTCCAGAAAGTTGGAATATGGTTTCAGGGTAGGATACCTTATAATTTACCATAAAGGGTTTAGGATAATCATATTCCAACTTTCTGGCTTCTACTATAGGGTTTAGGGATCTATAGGGGTTCCTTTAAGGGATCTATAGGGATCTAGAGGGATTCCTTTAAGGCCTGTAGGGTTTTGGGTGTAGGGGTTTAGGGGTGTAGGGTTTAGGGCTTAAGGTCTGGGGTTTAGGGCATTTAGGGTTGAATGTTCAAGGTTTAGGGTGTAGGGTTTAGGGGGTTTAGGGTTTAAGGGGGTTTAGGGATCTATAGGAGTTCCGTTAAGGGATCTATAGGGATCTAGAGGGGTTCCTTTAAGGGATCTAAAGGGGTTTATAAGGCCTGTAGGGTTTAGTGTAAAGGAGGGGTTTCGGTGGTTTAAGGGGTTTAGGGGGTTTAAGGGGTTTAAGGGGGTTCAGGGGTTTTAGTGGGCTTTTAGGGTTAAGGGTTTTGGGTTTAATGTTTGGGGTTTAATATTTAAGGTTTAAGGTGTAGGGTTTAGAGTTTAGGGTTTAGGTCGTGAAAACTTTCTGGCTTCTACTGTATGATCGCTTGTATACTTCTTCTATCAGTGCTTGGGGATTTTCAATTTGGGCTTAGGGCTGAGGGGTTTATTAGGGTTTTGCTAAGCTCCCCGCCACCTGCTGCCTGCTGCTGCTACGGCTACGGCTGTTGCAGCAGCTGTTTCGGCAGTGGTGGCGGTGGCGGTGGTGGTGGCGGCGGCTCTTGATATCCCAAACCGGTGAACCCCAAACCCTCAAAGCCCGTAACGCAAAAGTCTCGCTTTTTCGAAATGTGGCAGCCTCGTCCATGGGTTGTTGCCTAGTGGCCCATCTTTCTGAGTCCCGGGGGCGAAAAATAATGCAACTGTTGATGCACAAAATCCTGCATGACCCTAAGGACTCTAAACTATGGGAACTATAGTATATTCCTCATAAAGGGTAATGCAGGATTTTGTCCACCAACAGAATCTCAGGGGGGTAAGGATAACACTCCTGCAACACCCCTATCGGCATCTTGCATCTGTAATGCCTACCTGTTGCCTACGAGGCCTTCCATTCTTAGGGCCTATAATATAGAGAAACCATAATAAGGAAATCGAAAAAGGTAGGCTACGGGAAGAATTCCTTTCAGGAGCCCTTACAAAACACCTTGCAGAACCCCCCAACACTACCCTCCTATACCTATAGTCTCCGAATTGTAATTCTTTTTGGGGTTTCTTTTTAAGGTTACCTTATGGGATCCTTAATATACAATTGGTTAAACCCAAAGAAGTAACTACAATGCAGACTATAGATATAATGGGTATTCCCTAAGGCCTGTCGCCAGCCAT